TTCTTTAAAAGTAGAGTTTGTCCTGCAGATTCCTGGCAGAACAGGGTAGGAAAGGGGACTTACCCAGGCATAGACTGGAGATTGTACTTTCTAGAGTGCCTGGTTGAACCAGGCCAAATAAGGTTGAGGGGAACAACAAAGTAAAGAGAGGGAAATTCAGTCAAATGAAGAGACCTGTATCCTCTATCCATGATTATTTCTCAAATCTTTGTCAGTCTTGCTTATATTTCCCCAAGTAGAAAATAGGCATCTTCTATGAATAGTCTTGCTCAAGAGAAAAGACAGAGATACTTATATTTGTCTCACAATTAAATAGCCAGGTCTCTGTTTGATCACCCTAGAATGAAACCCATTAACTGTAAGTCTCTAATCATCCATCCACCTATTTCCAATCATTATTTTAAACAACCAAGGATCACCAGGCATTTGAGGAAGATCTCCAACAGGATAGAGATTGAAACAGGGACAAAAGGAACCTAATGGAACAGGTACAATGCAGGGAAAGAGAGAACAACTTTTCAAAAAGTAATATTCTCAGATATAAGAAAAGGAATATTTCTTTAATAAAAGAAAAAAAAGACCATTAAGGGGGAGGGGAAGATCTTGGAAATAAAAATACTATAGCAATGTGAAAAAAAAAAATCAAGAGAGAATAGGACAGAAAGACAAAGGGATGATAGGATATCATTGCAAGGGGTTCATCATTGAGTAAAAGAATTCTAGAAAGAATTCCAGATTGGAACTCCAGAAAGAAAAATTAAAAGAAAGTTATCAAAATGAAAATTTCCCAGAATAAAGCCCACTGTCATAGTCTATTTTGATTCATAGTGACCTCCATTGGGTTTCCCAGGCAGTAATCTTTACGGAAGTAAATTGCCCATCTTCCTTCCATGCAGTGGCTGGTGGGTTTCAACTACCAACTTTTTAGTTAGCAGTCAAACGCCTTAGGCACTGAGCTAATCTAATGCCTAATTAAGGAGGGAAGAACTACGCCAAGTACTTCATGAAATTCCAGAACTCCAAGGTTAGCAAGAAGATGCTGTGAATTTCTAGAGAGTATAAATCAGGTCACATATAAAAGATCAGGAGTTAGAGAATGTCATCAGATTTTTCAGCTACAGTGTTGTAATATAGACGTTAATAGAGCAATGCCTCTACCACTCGTCTGTCAGTTTGACTTACTGTGGTGGCTTGCATGTTGCTGTGAGTCTGGAGGCTATGCCACTGGTATTTCAATACCAGCAGGAGGACCCATGGTGGACAGGTTTCAGCGGAGCTTCCAGACAAAGATAGACTGGGAAGAAGGAAGGGATCATCCATGGCTCAAAGAATTGGCCAGTGAAAACCATATGAATGAAGCACTGTCTGATATATTACTGGAAAACTTTACGAATAGCCCTGAAACATTGTGAATATATTGCTGGAAGATCAGAAGGCACTCAAAATATGACTGGGGAAGAGCTACCTCCTCAAAGTAAAGTCGACCTTAATGACTGAGTAAAGCTTTTGAGACCTTCATTTGCTGATGGGGCATGACTCAAAATGGGAAGAAACAGCTGAAGACCTTCATTAATAATCGGAACATGGATAGCACATGACCAGGCGGTGTTTTGTTCTGTTGTACATAGGGCTGACGTGAGTTGGAATCGACTCAGCAGCACCTAACAGCAACAAAGCAGTGCCTTGAACATTGTGGGGAAAGTCATTCATAATCTAGAAAACTCTGTACCCTTTTTCAGAATTCTGTTGGAGGATGTTTATGTTTCACTAAAATGAGAAAGTAAATAATGTGAGATTCAGAAAATGAGTTCCAGCCTATAAAAAATGTAGAGGAAATTATCAAGATGGTGGCAAAGGGCAGTCCTAGAATGACCTCTGAACAGCAGCTTTTAGAGAGCTACTAGTTCAGATTGAAGCAGAACAAAGTAAGAGTATTTTCAAGCAAGTGGAGAGGAAAATTAATGGGTGAGTTGATATGTATAATGTATTAAGAGGAGATTTATACTTTTGCTGTAAAGTTAGCTAAAGTAATGGTAGATATATAGGAAAGAAACACAGGCTATTAATAACTATGATTCTAAGAAAAATAATCATAATTCTGTACATGGTTTACCTGTGAATAATATTTTAAATAATGTAACATTGCTATATCAAACACTGATATTCAAGAAAAAAATCTTGTACAAACATTAGGATGGAGGCAGCAGAGGAGGGGGTACATAAGGTACTGAAATAAGAGAGGTTAATCTTGCATAGTAAAAAAGAAGGAAGTATTTGAAACAATGACAAAATCAAGCTAAGGTAGTATGAGGATGTTATTGACAAAGATGTGCTATTAGAAGAAATAGCTAACTGATTTAATTGAGTGCCTTTGGGGAGCAGGAAATCAGGAGTGGGGATTTGTAGGTAAGGCCACCATAGATTTTCTTTTAAAATACTGTGTTTTTTGTTTATTGTATTTTTGATGTAGTTTACACATTAAATTAGGTGCCCTTTCAACAGTCGTTGAGTGATATTAGTTACATTTTTCACAGTGTGACAGCATTCTCTTTGTGTTGTGGTTCTGTTCACTGTAGATTTTCTCAGAAAATCTAGAAGTCCTATTTAGCTTCTTAAAGTCTATACATGCATTACTTTGATAAAAATTAAATGAAACAAAAGGCCTATCACTGCTGTTCTAAAACAGATTAGGGTAAATTTGTGAAAAAGTCTCCAGGAAACAATTTAGACAAATACACCAATATTGAAAACATTTTAGATGGTCATAGGAGGTACTCTGTAATCACCTGAGAATTACCCAGAAATACATGGAAAACGGTTTGGGACCAGATTTTAACTCTCAATATTGGCCAGAAAACTAATAGTTCTGCCAGTAGAGACCATTCAGAATAATGATGGCTTCCTGAGGTAGACTTCCAAGCGATAGATTGCGTGTCGTAAGCAGTATTACTCATTAAGGATTGAGTGAATGAAACCTGAATCAAAACATCTCTGCATCCTTAGGGCAAAATACATGGCAGTTCTTTGGGTGGCTGAAAGAAAATGGTGGTTATTTCTAAGAATATGATTAGGTACCTACACATTCTTAGTAGATGTTTCATAGATATGTTCCTCAGGGTAAGAGATGCAAAGTTACTGGAACTGAGCCAGCCTCCTTCCTCCCCCTCCACTTCCCCTCACACATTTTAAATTAAAATTGTTAGTTCTGGGTGGTATATATGTAAAGAGTGATAATAGCACAAACAGGTGTTGTGTAATAACTTAACAGGAAATTAGTGTATTAAGTAGAAAGTAGGTGTGGTAGTTAAATTTGTATGTCATCTTGCCTGGGCCTGGTTGAGTGGCTGGGCAGCTGGTAGTAGTTATTCCCCATGATGAGACTGGCAATCAGCTCCATGGTGGGATCTCCCACAAGCAGCAGAGTAGCTGTCTTGGGATGTGGTCTGCTTCCTGTATATAAGGAGAAGGCTTGGGGATAGTTTCTAGCTTATGACATGCTTGGATCCTACATGTAGTCATGTCGTTGTTCAGCAGCCTGCCATGCTCTGCCAACCTTGGGACTTACAGTGGGCCTGAATAAATGTCCTGGCATGTGGTTTGGTAACATCAGGCTTGTGCCATTTTATTTGTCAACCTTGGGCTTGTTAGCCTCAGCAGCCAGTAGCTGCCTGAGTGAAGAGATGCCTCTAGCTTTAGTGGGCCAGGAGTAAGAGGCAGAGCTGAAGCCCAAGATGGAGGGGCTTTCACCCAGCCCCGAGAGCCTGGCACTTTGAACTTGGACTTTAAGCCTCCAAACTGTAAGAAAATAAACTCCTGTTTGTTCAGCCATCCCATTTGTGGTATATTCTTGTCAGAGCGGTACCAGGTAACCAGAACAGTAGGCTATTACCAACTGGACTGACAGAGGAAACTCCAGATACATATGGTGTGCAATAGCAGGAAATAGACTTCCTACTTGGGTGATTTCTTTTAAATAAAGTCAGTAGGCATTGTGGGACAAGCAGAGCTGAAGGCTAAAAGACAGTTGTCATTTGCACTATGGACTTTTCCAGAGTCCTGAGAAAAGAGTAATGACAGTACCAGCAGCACAGCTTATTGCAGACCACAAATCCATTGATACGTAGAGATGACTAACAACAGTTCTGATAGTTAAAAACAAACAAACAAACAAAAAAAAAAACTAAGAACAGTAATTTATAAAGATATTAACACAGATTTTGTAGTTAACAAAAAACTATCATTTATCTTCCATAATCTGGAAGATAAAGGAGAGTTGGAAGAACCTCTGAAAATAAATGTCCAGATGAGAAAGATGAATTAACAACAACAAAAATATAAGCAGTCCAACCAAAAACATTGAACACGGCTGTTTTAAACAGTACTTACACTTTTCCCTCTAATTATAAAGTTTGAAGGGAAAGGAAGTGGTACTCACTTAAAGTGAGTACCAGCTGAGAGTGGCTAAGTGGTAATTTATGGTTGCCAAGGGCTTACAGCCCCAGTTCCCCTTCTCAGCTCATGAGCTACTTGAGGTGAGTTAACAGTACCTGTTTTTTTTCCCATAATAGCTGTAAGTGAAATCCTGATTACATTATTGATACTAGATAGTTTCACTTCTTGTATATACTTTTTGTTACAAGATGGTTTAAGTTTGCATATGGTGGCAGAAAATGTTGACTGAAATTTTAATAAACAGTTCGCTGTGCTTCACCAGATTTCCCTATTGTCTCTTACATTTTCCTCTAACTGCAGTTTAAATGAGCATTTAAAAAAAGGATATAAATGCATGTACTGTTACACTAAATGAAATTTTTCTACGTATTTTAACTTTCTCTTGACAGTTGCTAAAATTCACATTGGTTTGCAACCCTTTTTAATGAAAGTTAAGACAAGGTGGTGGTGGTGGTAGTGGTGGTAGTTAGTTGCTATCAAGTCAGCTCTGACTCATGGTGACCTTAAGTATGACAAGGTAACCAAGTCCTTTTTGTGTCTTTGTACAGGAAACTCTTCATACAGGGAAACAGGGGAAAAGAAAAATGCAACAATAAAGATAAATAAGGTTTGTTGAAATAAAAACTCTCTTTTTCATTAAGTAATAACACTTGGTGATTATTAGTATAATATCCAGTGTGTCAAGTGTATCTAATATTTTAATATGACTATTACTTAGCTCTCATGGAAGTTTTGTTTGTTTCATTAACTACTTTTTATTTTTGTAGCCTCAAAGATCAAACTGTACAAATCAATGCTTCAGAAGTTTTTTCTCCAATATATTTTCTTCTAGTAGTCACACTGGAGAATCTTCTTATATCCATAGAGCATACTGGTTAGTATTTTCTGCTTTTAATTTATGATGTGTGCTGTTAGGATCATTATAATTATCTCTTTTTTTTTTTTTTTTAAGTGTTTTATAAATTACCTTTTGATAGAAATAACTCTTGGCTCCAAACAAAAATTATGAAAAGCCCACCTTGTTTTTCTTAGAAAACAAACTAGCTCTCACAAAGAGGAACAACTGTTATTCTGTGAGCCTCTGTGTTTGTTAAAGCAGTGTCTGCCTATGGTAAGGGACTTTGTTTTTGTTAGTAAGTTAAATTGTTCTACAAAGCCTTTTCATGTGATAGAGAAGTAGTATACTTACTTATTAAGTTGTGGGGGCTGAACCTAATAAAGCCTTTTAGAGCAAATCATATTTATTTTTGAATCCATAGAGACTGACATGTGGACACTAAGTAGATATTTAAGTTGAAGTTTTACAGTCATATACAGTTGGTTAAACCACTAAGAGTAAGATTGTATGATTTATTTGAGAGTGTAGCGAGAAAGCAACATATTGAGCAACCTTTTGAAAAACTGAATTATACCTATGTTTTATTACAGTAACGGCACCCTCATTAATCTTAGTTTCAGGTGGGAAACTTACACATAGCATTTCTCCCTGAACTGCGTGCTGCTCCTCTGGTACATGGGATAGAAATTGTGTGATTTTATTTCTCTCTATAATGAGGACATTAATTTAAATTGACTTTTTAAAATCTGTCATTTAAGATAAGCATTATTTTTATGAATCAGATAAATAGAATGTTAATTTGTAGTTTTACTTTCTATCTTTAGTTATGAGTTCATTTTGAAAGTATTTAAATAGAAAAAAAACCTTTTTATTCTTTTAAATGAGATTTACAATGCTAGATGTAAAATCCCCTGTTACGATTTTTGTATAGTCCAGTTTTTCTGAGCTTAAGTTATTTTAATTCTGAAAAAGGTCTAAAATTTATCTTTTAGTACAGAATTTGTAGAAGTCAGTGAAATCAGTGCAGTGATTAGGGAGAAAAGACGAGAACTGGAATTTTCATGGTTTCATGATACAGTACCGGGACTTGGAAGGTAAAAATTTTTTTCTTATTTACTAAACAGTGTACCTGCTAACATGAACACAGGGAATCATTAACACTTAAGCACAGGAGAATCTTATTCAGTAGATGTGTTCCTAAGGAATTTTTTGTTAAAGCATTCAGGCTGCTGACAAAAAAAGTTGGCGGTTTGAACCCACCAGCTGCTCTGTGGGAGAAAGATGAGGCAGTCTGCTTCTGGAAATATTTACAGCCTTGGAAACCTATGGAACAGTTCTACTCTGTTCTGTAGGGTTGCTATGAGTCATAATCGACTCAGTGGCAGTGGGTTATAGTCCAGCCACTCATTTATTTGCCTGACTAGTTCCCTTGTCACTAAATTCTTCATTTCATGGAAACACATGTCATTTTCTAAAATAGACTATAAGCTTCTTGAAGTCTATTAACAATACAATTTTTAAAAAAAGTCCTGCAGCTACTAGCACAATGTTAGATACATATGTATACTTAAATCAAGCTCTAAAGATTTTGCTTCCTGCCTTAGTCTCATTTCTGTACCATATCGTGATTTTATTTTATATGTCCTTGTAATTAGACCTTCACCCTCTAGGAAGGACAATGGAAAATCAATAGAAATAAAATAAGGAAATCCAGCTGTGTATAATATGATACTTTTCCTTACAGTTGCATACTTTTATAAATATACAAATTACACATTGCTTTTCCTTTTTTTAAAATTTTTTTATTGTGATTTGGGTGAAGATTGACAGCAAATTTCACTTTCCATATAGCAGTTTACATATACTTTGTCTCATGACATTGACCGCAGTTTACCATAATGCAACAGCTCCCCTCCCACTTCCTCCCCATAGTTACCTCTTCCCAGTGTCCATCCCTCCATGGACTCCTGCCCCTTGAGCTGTCTCCCTGTGCATAAGCTTTCTCAATGATTGTTCTCTCCAAGGAGTGTATCTGCCTCAGGTAAACGTTCAACTCAATGCCTGTCTTCTGTTTGGCTGGAAACCACACGTGTGGGTTCAATTCCAGACCTGAAGGGCACCTAGGGGCCATAGAGTCAGTGGTTCCACCAGGCTCTATCGGACCAGCAAACCTGTCCCCCCCGCTTTTTTTTTCTTTTTTCTCCAAATGATTTTGAGTTTTGTTCTACATTGTTCTCCCTCTCTATCAAAGATCTCGTACATAGATCCCCTTCCAAGTGGATGACAGTGGTAACTGGGCATCATCTAGTTCTTGTCTCAAAGTCATATAGGCTGCAGATCAGGTGGTGTACCAGTCACTAGGACTAATTGTTTCCATTAATTTTGGTTTTCTTCATTCTTCTTTGCTCTGGA